GAGGTTCTGCCTTAGCTACTGCCCGATCCGCGTTCCGGTTGGCCTGTTGTTACCGATCTGCTGCCTCCAAAGTCCCACAGGCTAACCAAGCCTGATAGGACTCCTTCTTCAGCGTGATGGTTCCCTTCACCTCTGGTGTTCAACATCTGGTTCAGAGGTCACCACAACAGACACCAACTACCTTGTGGCCGCAGCTCAATGCAGCAGCTTCAGCAATGGAGGTTCTGAACATGATCCATTTGGACTCAATCTGATGATATGATTACAAAATCGATCATCAACCTGCGGCCTAGGGTGTCCTGGTGCCACATGCACTTGGAAACCCCTATGTCCGAACGTGATGTTATGGAGAAACTGTGGTTTGCACAGAAGTCCGGTAAAAGAACACCGCTCGGGTTCAGAGCCTCTGACGGGCTGTTCTTCCCAATCACGCCCCTCCAGGTCTCATTGTCATCGTCCACTGAGTGTTGAAGTCTCCCAGTAATGACAGAGTCCCAAAGTGGAGTGTCCTCAAGCACCCCACTTAGGGACTCCAAGAAGACCGGGTACTCTGAACTGTTGTTTGGCACATAGGCGTAGATGACAGTCAGGACCCGTTCCCTGACCTGAAGGCGCAAGGAACAAATCCTCTCGTCTATCGAGGAAAATGTACAGCCAGCAAGCCGAGGGGATATTAAGATACCCAGCCCGCTGTCACCAAGGGCAACTCCAGACTGAGACAGAGGCCAGCCCCTCTACAGGAGACTGATTCCAGAGCCCAAGCTTGGTGGTGAGGCCCAACTATATCTAGCCAGTACCTCTCAACCTCATGAACTAGCTAGATTTCTTCCCCACCAGAGATGTGATATTCCATGTCCCAATCGCTAGCCTCGGTAGCCGGGGAACAGTCTGCCATGGTCTCTGCCCCTGGTTGATGCCCAGCACATACACTGTACCAGACCCCTAAGGTGCCTCCTGCGGGTGGTGGGCCTACAGGAGGGTGGGCTCATGTCCCTTTAGAAGCTGTGCCCGGCCGGGCCCCATGTACTAAGGCTCAGCCACCATGCACTCGCCCTTGGGCATCCTCCCCGCGCCTCAATCCAGGGTGGGCCCCCGTTAACCCTATCCCAGGTAGGGTGAACCGCTCCCTTGAACCTCTTTCATGGGGGTTTTTAAAAATCGCTCTTTGTCTGGTCCCTCACCCAGGACCAATTTTCCATGAGAGACCCTACCAGGGAGCAAAAGGCCCCTGGCAAAATAGGCCCTGGGATCCCTGGGACATACAAACCCCCCACCACAATAAGGTAGCGATTCATGGATGGGGTTAAATTTTACTATTGTAAATGTTTTAATTAAGTACATTTAATTTATAAATACAATAAATTTATTGTTGATCATATTATATTTTATTATATTACTAATGTGTGATGGACACCAGTCTTGTGAAGCACATTACTTAACTGCTGTTCACCAGCTAATCTTAAAAATTACTGTTGGCTACAGAAATGCAGCCTAACAAACCAGGTACAAAGTCTCATTGACATTAAAATGTGTTTTTAAAGAGAGGTCTGGCCAAGAGAGCAGCAGAAAATGAAAGAAATATAACATCTCAGTTTTATAAATATATTTAAGGGACCAGAAGGACTGGATTAATGACAATAAGGGCACAATTATAGAGTCATAAAGATACTTCAGGAACAGGTCTTTTTTTTATTTTACATTCGCTAAATGAACTTGCTATTAGCATTAGCTACAACTCCCAGCTGAAAACAAAGTGCCGTACGTGCACTTGACATGACAAACAAAAAATGGGAAGCGCATTAAATTAAATTAAAACAATAATATCAGCACATTAGATTAAAGTAAAGCAGTAAAATAAGGGTGAAACAGCGTTATAAGCCAAGGAATGAAAAGGGTTTAAGACTTGTTTTAAAAATGGACAATGAAGGGGCCTCTCTAGTGTGCAGGGGCAGGTTATTCCAGAGGTTAGGAGCAGCAATAGAGAAGGCCCTGTCCCGTCTGAGCTTCCTCTTGAACCTGGGTGCCTCCAGAAGCAGCTTGTCAGCTGACCCGAGAAACCTGTTCAGAAAGGATGAAGAAGCTCAGAGAGGTAAGGTGGGGCAAGACCATTTAAGCACAAG